CTGTTGTATTGGGGGATCTCAATAACCCACTGTCACAAAAAGACAGATCAACTAGACAAAAAAATCAACAATGAAATATTAGAACTGAACAAAATAGTTGAACAAATGGACTCAGTAGATGTCTACAGAATGTTCCACCCCACATCAGACTACACATTTTTCTCAGCTGCACATGGGATGTTCTCCAAAATAGACCACATACTAGCTCATAGAAGATGCTTACATAAATGCAAAGGAACTGAAATTATCCCATGCATATTATCAGACTATAGTGCAATGAAATTGGAAATCAATGGCAAAAGAAACCATAAGAACGTCATAAACACATGGAAATTAAATAGCACCCTCCTGAACAACCAATGAGTCACAGATGAAACTGAAGAAAAAATTACAGTTTCTACAATTAAATGATAATGACAACACAATATACCAGAAGTTATGGAACACAAGGAAAGCAGTCATTTTTTTTTTTTTTTTTGGTACCGGGAATCGAACTCAGGACATATGCTGCTGAGCTATATCCCTGGGGAAAGCAGTCTTAAGCGGGAAATTTATAGTAGTGAATACCCATACCAGAAAAACAGAGCAAGCACAACTGTTTAACTTAATGGTGAACCTCAAACTTCTAGAAAAAGATGATCAGGCTAAGCCAAAAGCGTGTATGAGGAAATTATAAAGATCAGACCAGAAATTAATGCACTGGAGACTAAGAAAATATAAAGAATCAATGAATCAAAGAGCTGGTTTTTTGAAAGATTAAATAAAATCAACAAACCCTTATCCACCTTATCAAAAAAAGGAAAGACAAGACTCAAATCCATGCAATTAAGAATGAAAAGGGTAAAATCACAAAGACTCTGCAGAAATCCAGAAGATCATCTATATCAACTTTGAAAACTTGTATCCTAATAAGATGGAAAATACAGAAAAAATGGACAGATTCCTAGATACATATGAATTTCCAAAGCTCAATCAAGATATAAAAATCCTAAATAAACTAATATCAATGAAATTGAAGATGTAATTAAAAACCTGCCAAAAAAGAAAAGCCCAGGCTCTGATGGACTCACTGCTGCATTCCACAAGAAATTTAGAGAAGACCTGACACCACATGAAATTTAAAGGGAAGCAATACTCCCAAATTCATTCCTGGAAGCAAGCATTACCCTCATACCAAAACCAGAGAAGGACCTAACTAAGAGAACTACAGGCCCATCTCCCTAATGAACATAGATGCAAAAATCTTCAATAAGATACTGGCAAAAAGAATGCAGCAAATCATCAAGATTGGGCTGGGGATTTAGCTCAGCGGCAAAAG